AGATATTGACATTTGATTGTTCAATGAAATTTTCACTAATTGCCATATCAGGCATGATAAGTGTATTAGAGTTTGAGATACAGCAGAGGTGTTGTTAGCTGGTTGTTCAGTTTTGAATTAGGAGTGCTTACTTTTTCCTTAATGCCTATTCCTCTGTTGCCGAGTGTATTATTTTGAAGTGTTTGATGTTAGGCTTCTCGCTAAAGCTTAGATGGATGTAAATTCCAGAGTTGTTGGAAGGGCTGCTTTGTGCATGTTCCTTAACTCTGGGAGCTAGGGTTCATATCATTAACCCAATGTAGCTATGCCTACAGTATGGACATGTGTATTGATACGCCATCAGCAATTACTTTTGAAAGAAACATTTTGTCTTTAAAAAGGAAAAATTAGATATCATTTGTTCCATTTGAAGGTCACTCTTAGGCTGAGTTGGGAATAAGTTGATTCCAGAATGTTCTTGATTTTTCTTTTTAATTTGATGCCATACGAACCAGTGAAGGTTAACTAACACTAAGGAATGTTGAAGTATGGAATCTTGGGTTTGTAAACTTTATTAATATATTAAAAAATACTTTTGTTGACAAGTGCTAGAGGAAAGGCATTTTTAATATTGGTAACTTCATAATGCAAACTACAATAAAAGCTAATAAATTTATACACTTTATGAATTAAGATGCTTATTAAATTAATTTTGTTACAATCGGGTATTAATGTGCTAAAATGACAGTACAGACCAAAAAATGTTGGTTTGTGGTAGTATCTGATTTTGAACCTGTTGTTCAGGTTGATGACCTCTAGACCTAAAAAAGGTAACTTAAGTTCATTTTGTTCTTCAACTGTAAACTTGATATTCCTGTATTTAGAATTTAAATAATCTTGAAACTTTTGACATGGCTTTGTTCTCTGATTACAATAAAAGTATCATCAATGTATCTCTTATAAATTAAAGGCTTAAATTTGGATGGTTAAGACTGTAACCAATTACTTTTGTGATAAGACAAAAATAAATTAGCTAATATGAGAGCAAGTGGCAAACCCACACCAATGAACATTTGCATGTGGGAGACTATGTCTGAAGTTTTTCCTACTAGTTTAGATGGAAGTATGTGAAACTTAGTGAAAGTTAAACTGCATGATGGTTAGTTTAGATTGTTTTGTTAGTAATGGGCTATATTTTAAAGTGAGTTTCACAGTTTAACAGAAATAAGGAGAATAATGTGTCTTGTCAAAGGGTGTTCTAAAGTAATTGAACTCATCTATGTGGACTTTGACAAAAAGGAGACTATTATTTAAAGTTCTTGATAGTACTGTGCTAATCAATGGGGTAACATAGGTTAATTTATCACAGATTGTATAGTGAGACGGAGATCAATAATTTCTCTTATCAGTTGAGTTCTAAAGTAACTGAATCAGCCCTTGTGGACTTTTTACGAGAAAAGAGAATTATTTTGAATTTTAGATACAACTGTGATATCCATTAGTGTAAAGAAATTTTGTACACATGTTGGACTTGTTTTGAAACAAGTGGATTGTGTACTGTTTGTTTATTGCCAACAATTCCTAGACATCTACTGCATAGCCCACTTGTACTAACTCTGACACTAATATTACTCATCTTTTTAAGGGAGGTAATAAAAATTGTCCCAGTAATTATAGGCCTAATTGTCTCACATCAGTTGTGGGAAAAGTTTTGGAAAGTCCGATAAAAGATGCTTTGCAAAGTCATTTAATGAAGTTTAGAATTTTATTGGATAACTAACATAGTTTCTTAAGGCAAAATCTTGCCTTACAAATATTTTGACATTCTGTAAAAAGGTTAGTGCTCATGTAAATGAAAGTAAGGGTGATTTGGTGTATCTGGATTTTGAGAAAGCACATAAGTGCCACATAAAAGGCTTGTAAAAAAAATTATCTCTGAGTGTGGGGGATCAGTTTGCTAATTGGATAGTGGCTGTATGAAAAAAAGCAGAAGGTTGTTATAAATGAAGTTCTGTGAAACTGGGTTAATGTCACAAGTGGAGTACCTCAGGGTTCAGCCTTAGGACCTTTGCTGCTTTTTTTTTACATCAGTGACATAGATGAAGGAATGGTAAATAAATTATTGAAATTTGCTGATGATATTAAGGTCTTATGTGTTGCTGGCTGTGTTTTAATTGTAATAAATGCAAGATAATGCATGTAGGTTATGATAATTTGAATTATAATTTGGACAGGAATAACCTTGACAGTTTTATATAAGGAAGCAACCTTGGTGTACTGGTTGATCACTCTCTTAAATCATCCGAGCAGTGTGCTGTTGTTAGGGCTAGGGCAAATAGGATTTTAGGTTGTATCTGCAGAAATATTGAATACAAGTCTTAAAGAGGTTATAATTTCATTGTATAGGTCACTGATTAGGCCACATTTGAAGTATTGTGTTCAGTCTTAGGAAGGAATTGAATTGTTGGAAAGGGTTCAGAGAAGAGCTATTAGAATGATACCTGGGATGGAGGGGATGTCATATGAAAAAGGAAGTTAGAGGGATCTGACTCGTGATCAAGATTATTAAGAGAATTGATAGTGTTAATGCATCTTCTTTTTTTTTTTTCATTGTTAATGGTGAAAATACTAAACTAGGGGGGACACATAAATTTTGGCAGAGTAGGAGCCATCTTGAGCTAAGACAGTTTTATTTTTCTAACAGGATGCCTTCAGATGTTGTGAAGGCAGTAAACTTGAGTTTAAGAGAAAGCTTGATAACTATATGAATGATAAGGGCTGGCTTTGAATTTTATTATTGTTTTAATTTAGTTTAGAGTATAGGAAAGCCTAGATGGATGG